TAAAAAAAAAAAAGACAGAGAGAGAGAGAGGACAGAGACAGAGGTAGAGAGAGACAAAGAGTGATACAGAGACAGGAGACTTGTAAGTGGTCTTCCTACCACGCGAGTTTTGTATGCTGGAGGCCCAGTTATCAGTGGGACATCTTCCTTTTTCCAAAATGGCTATATCGCAGGAGCCATGGAGCTGTCTGTCTCTTGAAGAAGGGCTGTTCACGCGAGTTTTGTATGCTGGAGGCCCAGTTATCAGTGGGACATCTTCCTTTTTCCAAAATGGCTATATCCTCCCCCTATTTCTCATCCTCTGCCATTTCCCATCCTCTTCCCACCCTGTCTCTGGTATCTGCAGTTACTTTCCATTCTTTTATTCTTTCCCACATCCCACTGATTCACAGAATATCTTAGTTAATCTAAATACTTTCAATAGTAAGTTCAGCTGATATATACATATCTGTGAACACATGTTGAGGTTAGGCATGAAACTGTGGGTAGACTGAATATACTATAAAATAGCACATACTGAGGCTATATTGCTTACTGTGGTCATTAAATAGGTATCTTTTAATATATTTTTTAATTTCAAGAAAGGCAGTTTTAACTTTAATAAATCAAAAAATGTTAAGAGAACTCTGCTTAATACATAAAGCCAGAAAACGGGTTAGGATTCTGTTCGAATAGAGGTACATGGACCTGTCCACAACTCAAGAAAACAAAAATCCTTAACTCTGGAAAACAAAGCATACAAGATGAGTAATGTTTTAGTCAAAAGTCATAAAATTCTATTTCACCAGTTCAAACTCATGTACTTTATCTTCTGTTGTGATCTGATCTTTCTATTTAAATTCTGGAAGATAATATTCAACTCTGGACTTGTCCCTACCATTAAGCTTGCCATTTTCTTAGTTGTTTTAGAACACTTATTTTTATGTGTCTTACTTTAGTTTTCCTGGGATAGCACTCCCTTCAGAACTTCTTGAAGAACTAATCTGGTGCTCATAAATTCTTTCAGGTTTTGTTTATCTGAGAATGTTCTTGTCTTCTCTTCCATTATGTAGGAAAATCTTGCCGGATATAGTATTCTTGGTTGAAATTGTTTTTCACTCAACACTTTATTTTCCCATTCTTTCCTTGCTTGCATTGTTTCTGATGAGAGATCTGCTGTTAGCCTGATGGTATATCCTTTGTAGGTAACTTGATGTTTCTCTCTTGCCAATCTTAGTATTTTATCTTTGTCTGTGGTTTTGGTCATTTTGGCTATAATGTGTCTTGGAGAAGATCTTCTTGATCCTCCTTGGAATCCTTTGTATTTCTTGGGTCTGTATCTTTGAATGCCTCTCTAGGTTTGGAAAGTTTTCTTCCAGGATTTTGTGGAATAAGTTATCAATGTCCTTATTAGTCTCTTCGCCTTCTGAGATACCGATTATCCAGATGTTTGGATGTTTAATGGTATCAGTATTTCTCATATATTATTCTCATTTTGGGGGGCTATTTTCTCAGTCTCCACAGTGGATTTTATTAGTCCATCAATTCTGTCTTCTACATCTGAGATTCGATTTTCTGTGTGATCTAGTCTGCTTTTAATTTTTTCAAAGGAGGTTTTTGCTTTCTGTATTATAGCCTTCATCCCCAATATTTCCATTTGATTCTTTTTATGGTGTGTATTTCTTCTTTCAGCTCTCACAAGAACCTCACCTCCTGGAACTCATTGGCTCTTTTCTTCTGGAGTTCATTGTCTTTCTTCTCTTCTGTCTTAGCTTTGCCACTACAAATATTCTAAATTCTTTATCAGATATTTCCATGCATTCCATTGAACTCTCTGTGGATGAAGAGGAGTTATTCTTTTCCTTTGGGGGAGAGGTATTTCCCTGTTTTCTCATATTTCTTGTGTCTCTGCTGTGATTTCTGATCATCTGATGGGTTGTTCATTTATTCCTAGTTTCTTGAAGTTCAATCTGAGCAATCAGAGGCACCCAGGAGAAGGTGATCTGAAAATTCTTTGGCGTTCAGATTTTCTCCCTTCGTGTTGCAGATTCAGTGGGAATTGAGGACTATGGAGGACTCTAATAGTATTCAGATGCTTGGCTACTTTTCACTTAGACCTGTCTAGACACTCAGTGCGTGGAAGGTGAGCAGCCAAGTGATAAGAAAAAAAAAAGGATAAGAAAACAGAGAAAGAAAAAGGAGAAAAAAGGAAAAAACAAACAGACAAATTATTAATTTTAATAAACAAAAAATGGAAAACCACGCGGCACACTTGATCTCAGCTCTCATGGCAGACTCAATCTTCTGGCCTGCTCCTTTTGCCTCTCCTAGATAGGAGGGAGAAACAGCAGGGGATTATTACCAAGATAAAGGAGAATTTTAGAGCCAAGAAAATACTTTACCTTAAAAATTAAAAAAAAAAAAAAGAGACAGAGAGACAGAAAAGGACAGAGAGACAGAGAGAAAAGGACAGAGGGGGCTCTACCAGGGTGACTTCATTGCTCTCATCTCTGAAAGCACTAGATCTCAGCTCTCATGGCGAACTCAATCTTTTTCTCCTTACCCCTGAATCTTTAGGGAGGCCTCTTTTTAGGCCAGTATCATGAAATACTTTATTGAACAGGGTTACCTGAGAGACTTGATGCTAGATCAAATGTATGTAAATACTTATATATAAATATTATATTAAATATTTATATAAAATGTTTCTATAAATATATAATATAGTTATGTATAATTAAATATATATAAACATATATTTATTTGAAATGTTAAGAGTCATACAAGGGATTTTAAATTTCTTTTTATTTCAATTTCTTTTATACATTCAATCTCATGTTACTTAGGTTTCAAAGTGAATATTCCAACATGTGTACATTTCTCACCTATCTAGTTGACAATACTATAAAGCTGTCTCAATAGACAATAGTTCATTTCTTTGTCTCATAAATGCCTTGCCCCTCTATTTTTCCTGTTAATATCCTTCCTCAGACTCTACTCCTTTACCCGCCTTCTTCCCACACTGTATCTGGTATTCACAACCATTTGCTAAGTTTCTATAACCTTTTGACTGTTCAGTTTTGGCAATAGAATGCAGATACTTGGTATATATTAAGTGGAGACTTATAATGTCTCTCCTTTATAGCCTGACTTGCTTCACTCAGCAGTAAATCTTCCATATTCTTCCATTTTCTGTCAAAAGCCAGGGTCTTGTTTTTTATTTTTTTTATTTTTTTTTTATGGCTGAGTAGTATTCCATAGAGTATATGTGCCATACTTTTTCAATTCATTCATCTGTTCGTGGGCATTTGGGTT